CAGATGGCTTCACAATTAACATATCTTCCATTTTGATTTTCAAATATCAACTCAGCAACTTTTTTCTCCAGTTGTGGCCACTTGTTCAGTTTACCTCTGTTGGCACACTTTTGTTTTGCCATTGTCCTGAAGTTGATTCAATCTTTGTCCAGTTTCTCACAAGTTTCTCCAAAACACAAAATTCTCTTGCTGTGACACAGTTATTTGTCTTCTCTGCAACTTCAATAACTTTCATTTTAAACACTGCTATATATGTTTTGTTTTTCTGGAGGGTATTTTTACGCAAAATGATGAAGGAATTTCAAAACCTCATCTAGGTATATGACTGTATTCCTCGAGTGCCTGACTCTGAACTGATGCATCCTAAACTTACATGCTAAATTCTTCCATTTTCCTCTGTTTTCTCTCGTCCACTGTTGTTTTAGTTTGACTCTTATACAGTCTCACCGATCATTTCCTCATCATAATATTTACTGGGATGTACAGGATAACTCACAAATGTTGATCTGTTATCTGTGAGGAACTAGGGTTGACTTTTACACGGGCTATAAGGGGAGGTGATGGCCTATCCAGAGACCCAGATAATGTTCTGAGGACCCGGGTTCGAATGCTGCCACAGCAGATGGTGAAATTTGAATTCAATAAAATGTTCGAAATTAAGAGTCTAATGATGATCATGAATCCACTGTCGATTGTCGGGAAAACCCCATCTGCTGTGTCCTTAAGGGAAGGAAACTGCCATCCTTACCTGGTCTGGCTACATGTGACTCCAGACATCCAGGAATATGTTTGACTCTGAACTGCCCTCTGGGCAATACATGCTGCCTAGCCAGCAACACCCTTGCACTGTTAATGAATAAAAACTAAAAAGGATATGGAAAATTCAAGACTTTTTGGCCAAAAATAGGGGGTTGACTTTTACATGAGATCGACTTTTTCTCAAGTATGTATGGTAGATGCTCCCTTGTGTTAGATTCTCACTAAAAAATACTAAATACGTTAATCTGTAAACAATAGTCAAGCTCCTATTCTAAATCCCAGTACTGTACCACTCTACCACTAGCCTCAATTCTACAGCCCTAAAACCTTGTGGGTAGGAAAAGGTTAATGGAAATTGAAGGAAGAGAAAAAAAAATCACCTGACCACTACTTACCAATCAGAAGTGCTTCTGTCCAATACATCACGTTTGAACTTGTGTTGTGTCAAAGTGCAGTTCCCATGATAATGGATATGTAATGGATCAAGGTAAGGTTGCTACTTGAAGTGAGCAGTTGTGGTAAATGTGCTGACGTATTCCAGATTCCTCCTCAGTCATTTTTCACTGACACCCTCTGATGGATGCTCTTCTCCCTGTTAAGCACCAGGTCCTCAGTAATCCTCTCTTCAGTCATTGTGACTTTGCCTACTTCTACCAGAATTTGCCCAGCTGTTTCTCACTGGCACCTGCTGTCCTCTAGCTTTCTCTCTTCTTACTTTCTACCTTCTTCTGCTTTTCTTCCACCTCAAGACTTTTCATTGCCATCTTTGCTCATTCTAGCTCTGACATTCTAATGTCAGATTTCCTTTCTTCCAATTTTAAATTTGGATATCAATTGAAGCATTTTGTTCTTACAAGATACTGCTTTTAATTCTACATTCAATTTATAGAATTTGGAACTGTACAGCACAGGAATAGGCCCTTTGGCCCATGATGTGCCGAACATGATGCCAAATTAAATTAATCCCTTCTGTCTGCTCTTGGCCCATGTTCCTCCACTCCTTGTATATTCATGTGCTTATCTAAAAGTCCCTTAAATGCCCCTATCATATCTGCCTCCACCACCATTCCAGGCTCCTACTATTGTGTAAAAAAACTTGCCCCTCACATTTCCTTTGAACTTCACCCCCAACCCCTCACCTTAAGTGCACGTTCCTCAGTGTTAGACATTACAACTCTGTGAAAAAAATTCTGACCGTCAATCCTATCTATACATCTCATAATTTCAAGTCTCCATTCAGCCGCTACTGCTCCAGAGAAAACAACCTAAGTTGTTCGAGCCTTATCTGTGAACTCTTTCAGTTTAATGTCAAAGATTTGCAATACTCCACTGTTATATATTCTACTTCCAGAAAATGCTTAACAAAAGCCATCTCCAAATTCTGCGCAATAAACACAACTGTTTTACATCCAGAACCACCTTGCAACTCTTATTTTAAAAGAAAGACACAGAACCCCCTTAAAACCAGTGAATACAAATCCTGCAAGAGCCCTCAGTTTTTGCAATCCCAGCTGATGTTATTACTGGACAAGTCAGATCCCAGACTGAAAACTGGTTTGCTAGATATTTCTTTTTCTTAATTTAGTGAGGTTGTCTTTCACAGAAATATAAGCATACAATGTTACAGATTTGGTTTTAACAATAGAATTTTAAATGAAATGTTGTTATACAAAAGCAAATAGCTATTTACTTTTAATCTGAAATAACATAGCAAAAATACAATACCATCTATCGTAATACAGTCACTCTACAGTACTCAAACACCAGATAGTTTGCTTCTCTATTATATGGTATAGGTTTTGATTTGATTTATTATTGTCACACATACCAAGATACAGTGAAGAGTTGTTTTGAGCATTAAACAAATTATACCTTACGTAAGTATATCAGGGTAACGGAACAGAATGCAGAATATAGTGTTACAGCTACAAAGAAGGTGCAAAGAAAGATCGACTCTAATATATGAAAGGTCCACCCAGAAGTTTGATACTGTTACTTTCAATTAGGAGTTTGGTTAGCTCAGTTGGCTAGACAGCTGTTTTGTGATACAGAGTGATTCCAACAGCACTGGTTCAATTCCCATACTGGCTGAGGGTACCATGAAGGTCATCCCTTCTCAACCTTGCCCTTTGCCTGTGACATGGTGACCCTCAGGTTAACCTTACCACCAGTTGTTTGTAATGAAGCAGTGGGACTTTGGTGTCTTTACCTACTTTCAATGCTAAATCTTGAGAACTTCAGAGCCTCTTCCTTGATTAGTCATACAACTGAACTTAGACTTTCTCATTTTCAAAATACTCCTCCAGGATTTGAAACAAATAATTCTGGTCTAGAACTTGCAAACTATAATTCCTACACTGAGGTAACCAATTTCCTAATAGTTTTAAACCATCTCCTTTCTTCAAAAGAAACTAGTTTACCATCTAACATCAATCAGGCCCTCTGTGAACTGAAAAACAAGAAGATTTCTGAACTATGGGCTTTCATGAAGAAGAAAACTGAGCATTCTAAACAGAAAGCAAGCTAATACTCCTCAATGTTTACTCCTTCCATTGTAAAAAAGTTTCCCAAAGCAAACAAATTCCTACTATCAACCCAGGGACTCCCTCTCTCCTATTCATTTCAAGCAATTATATCACTAGAAATACTGACAAGTTAATCATTAAACCCCCTCATACGCATAGACCATAATCCACATGCCAAAACCAAACTCTAAAATAAATTATATTAAAATATATATAAATCACAAAGTCAGCAATGTTAAAAAAAGAGTCATTAGCATCATCAGGGCACAGCACAATATATTGGGTGTGGCATGGCTGGAATTATGTCAGCAGGTACCAGCACCTTATAAAGTGTGCTCCTAAATAAAGAAATAACACTAAAACTTCACAAAGCTTCTGAAGGTGCAGAGGTGAAAACTACTGACTGAGATCTTCAGACAGATTTAAACCTTTGGTCAGTTGAGCTGGTTGAGTACCCAAACATTTCAAAAACAATGAGCTCAGAGTGTTTTAAGGCTTGAGATTTGTTTGAATAGAGAAAATTGAGCCTCTGGCACAAAACTGGTATCTCAGTGCAAATCATTTGGTTGAGACCTTAAGAATTATTTCTGCCTGGTCTGCAGATAGCATCTGCAAAGGAACTGACAGAGGAAACACAGTGGGGATCAAATTCAGCTAGGTAACAGCCCTCAGTACTTTTGTGTGACCAAGATAAGCACTTGTGCTTTATTTGGCTTTACAGAAATACAACCTGAAAGATCTTTGGGCTGTATTTAAATTAGTCTCTCTAAGGACCACTGTTTATCTGCTCAACATTCAAGGTGGGTTTGTTTGCAGCACATCCTTTGTTTACATGTTCCATACAAGTGCCATCAGGATTCTAACTTTGAAAAAAAGCAAAGAATTGCAGATGCTGGAAATCAGGAACAAAAATAGAAATTGCTGGGAAAACTCAGCAAGTCTGGCAGCATCTGTGGAGAGAAAGCAGAGTCACCATTTTGGGTCCAGTGATCAACTATTTTTGTTTCTAACTTTGAATTCTTCTTGAGAATTAGCTGCATTATGACTTTCCACATTTTCAGCCATGCATTTGCAATATCAATAATTGTCATTTTGTCCCCCATTTGAAGTTTCACAAGAATTTTACAAAAATATTTTGGAGGGAATTTTAATCCCAATAACAAATAAATTGGGAGCACAGTGTACTCAACCCCTTAAGGTCTATCTTCAAGTTGAACAAAGATACATCTCAATGTCCATTACTATGTTGGATCAGACAAGTAGTTATCACTGCAATTCATGCCCTTAAAAGACATTAATTAAATATTCTTAATTCATTTTTACTTAAATGCAAATTGTACTTGAGCAGATGAGTTGTTATTGCATGGAAACCAAGGAATAAGCAGCAATTCAAGTAGATTTTAAAACCTAACATATGGCTGGGACAACTTGTGAGAGATGGGAATACTCTAGGCAGGTTTCAAATTCAGTCCTCTTTCACGGTCATCGCTGTCCTGTACTCGTACGATATCACTCCTATCTCTCAAAGACAGACTAAATGTTTGAACATAAGTGACAAGTTGTAAGGCCACTGATACCGAATTTGTTATCCTATTGAAGGAGTCAGTTAGGTTTACATCTAAAGTCTGCAAGGTCTTTATGGAAGCAGACTTACAAAACGGTTATTTATTTGATCTTCTTTTAGAATGGGAAATAACTCAGAACAATCATACATACCTTTGTTAATCAAAGCCCAGGTTTTTTTAATATCACGCTGGGAAGGATAATGGTCGCAGTCCTCAAAGAAATTTGTTAATTCATTCCCCATGATAAATTTCTGAAACTCTCTTTTTGTAAACAGATCTTCATACTCTGTGATCAAACAAAAAATCATTCATCATGACTTATGCTAAGGTTAAAAAAAATTCACAAGTATTTTAGAAACATACAACCACAAAATACTTCGTCAAAAATGATTTCAAATTAAATTCACTGAAACAATAAATGTGGGAGCCTTTGGTCAGTAAATAAATCCAGGGGATTGAAATGCTGCTGTAGTTTTTACATATAAAACACTATAAATCACAGTGTAGAAAAGACCAATCAATGTCATTTCATAGTTAAATGGTTAGGGTCTGTAATATGCTGTCTGTCAGGGAGGTAGAGGAAGATCCAGTTCTGGCTTTCAAAAGATAAGTACCCAAAGAGAATAAATCTGTATACCTATACTGAAAAGGAATAGGACTGGCCAAGTTGGTCAGACAGAGAACCAGCTTGAATTCAATGGGCCAAATGGCCTCTCGCTTTATTGCAACAATTCATGATTCTACCTGAAATGGAATGGATGGTGACTAGAAGAAAATCTACTTCACAGAGGCAGGGAGATTAAATACCAAAAAAATTAAAGGATATGACAGGATGTGTTCTAAAAATATTTGAGTTTTACAGTTGCAAATACTGGAAAGAACAATATATTAGTACTGCACATCACTCAGTAACATATGCAATCTGTTTATTTACTGATTATTTTCTACTACTGTTTTAATATCAGCAAATGGAGGGGTAGAAGGTGGAAAAGAAGAAATGACTAATTCTGTCTTCAAGTCTTCCTTCCACATGAACTGTGCACTTTGAAACAACCGAGCAAAATCAGTAAATATTGACTGCAAACATGGCTATATGCTTGGATATGGTGCAATTGGAGTAGTGCCAGTAGTGACATGGGAGGTGGTTACGTAAAATTACCAAATCACCTTTTGGCGTGGAGCCAATAACAAACATTTTGGTCCTAATGTCTGAATCCAAATCTACCGATTGAATGGAAGCCTCATTAACTCAGAGCTGGGAAGAACTTGAAATATTTATGTATTGGGATAACTAAGCAAAATAAGTTTAAGTTGCCTCAATTTCTTAGATCCTCAACCACAACACAAAATTGATTAATTGTCGACATAAATTGGCACTCAAACTGACATTTTCTTTGAATTTATATCAATGCTGGTAGGCATAATACAACATGAATTTCATGTAGCCTAGGCAATTGGTGAGTTGGGCAGCTTAACAGGAGACTTAACGAATATCTTACTCTCAATGACAGAAGTGTTAACAGGTTTCACCAGTGGATTGAGGTAGTATCTATCGTATGAATTTCAAATTAAGAATGCAAAGCCACAAAACAGACAAAATGAAGGAAATGCACAATAGGTTAATCAGCTTCTGAACTGTCAGGTAAGTATCCAACATTTTTTTTTGAAGAAGGGTCTAGGCCCGAAACGTCAGCTTTCCTGCTCCTCTGATGCTGCTTGGCCTGCTGTGTTCATCCAGCGCTACACCTTGTTATCCCAAGTATCCAGCATTATTTGTTTTTATTTACCAAAATTACAATATTTTCATTTTCATTCCTGTACATGAAACATTTATCATGCAGTTTTCTGCTGGAGTGCTGAATATTTTCTATCATGTTACATTTTCACATCTTGTTTCATGAAATTACATTGTGGATTGCTGGGTTAATGCATGTATTTGCAATTCCTCTCTCTGCTCTTTTAGTCAAAATACTAATGCACATTTTTATGTGTGTAAACATTTGTTAAAACAGTAGTGCAAACCATTTCAAATGAATTATTAAATATTTGTAAGTAAGGTTTGAACTCCGGGGCACACTTTTTCTAGCACCTAAGAACGTTGGAAACAGAAAGAAGAGTAGGCCATTCAGTTCTGCAAGCCTGACCTACCATTCAAATGGATTATGTCAGAAGTCGCACGACATCAGGTTATAGTTGAACAATTTTACTTGAAATCACAAACTTTTTGAGCACTGCTCCTTCATCAGGTCAACAGCATTTTCAGTGAAAGAGTTTCAGATTTCCACTACAATTTATGTAAAGAAGTACTTTTTGATATCATTCCAAAAGGCCTATTTCTAATTTTAAGTTTAGGTTTCAGCACTCCACCCAAAGAAGGGATAGTTTCTACCTGTGCTATCACCTGTTTAGATAATCATAAACATCTTACTTATATGATCCTTTCTAAGAGTCACCTTACCCGAAACAGTAACTCTGATTTTTTTCTTCACAGATGCTGCCAGACCTGCTGAACTTTTCCAGCAACTTCTGTTTTTGTTCCTGATTTACAGCATCTGCAGTTCTTTCAGCTTTTATCTTACTTAGATCACTATTTAACCTTCTGTAAGCCTGTTCATGCAACCTGTTATTATAATTCAACCCTTTTAACCTTGGTATCAATTTGATGAACTTGTCCTGCACTTCCTCAAGGTCAGGATAGCCTTCCTGAGATACAGTTCCCAGGATGAATGCAGTGTTTCAATTTGGGTCCAGCCAGATTTCTGTAGTATAACCTCCACAGCTTTGTATTTGAGGTAAAGGTTAATAATGCATTAGCATTTCTAAAGTACCTGTCCATGATGAGGCTTTAATAAATTCTGTTCTCAGATCCCAAGACCACTCTGCTCATTCACAGACTCTAACTTCTCACCATTTAAAAATGCTCTGAACTATCTTTCTTATGTCCAAATTGGAAAACCTCACAAATACATAACTGAACTTCCTTTTCCACAGTTCTGCCCATCCAATTAGTCAATTATCATCCCTTTTCAAATTTCTGCTCCCCAGTACACCACTACTTTGATCCCTAAATTAGTGTCAATGAAAAACTCAGCTTTTAAGGAAGAAAACAAACAGTAATAAAATTTGAACTCCCTAGTGTGGAGTAAAGAGTTGGCTCTATCTTTACTCTAAGAATGACTAGCATGTTCAAAAGGACTTTTCATAGTGACATCAGATCATATGGCACTGGATTCAAAATCTGTAGAGTTCCAGAAGATGTCAATTCTTAATATCACTTCAATACGGTTCAGTTAATATTCACTCACCCAAGTAAACCCAGCACCCACTTTAGCAGCAAATGGGTCCTAATATTTTTCTCTACTAAGCTTCTGCTTTTACAGTTTGATTCCAGAAAATGTTTAAAGATGTTGTGATGCATCTGCAACTTCAACAAAATCTTAAATGAGAAAAAAAGTATCCATATCCATGACACAAAGTCAGCTATGCACTGTCATCCAGGAGCCAGTTAAAACTTTGAAAAATGTGACATCAGCTGTTGATCATACATGAATAAAGATTATGGGAGAGAAAATCTCAACTTGCTCATATTTGTGTTGATAAGCCACTTACTCTTCTTCTTTTCAAGCCATTCTTCTAATTCTGAAAACACTAATGGTAATCGTTCCTGGGGAGTATTAAAGCGTCTTCGCAAGCGGGTCATCATATTGCGATACTGTTTTACCACGAGTAAAAGGGATGGTCCATGGTCTACAGACTGTAATTAAAGAGACTTTAAATTTCACATTAAGAGCTTCCTGTTAACTGCTCTATCACAGAATTACAACCACAGTTTATTACTAAAATATATACTGTTTTGCAACTTGAGCTAATTAAACAATACAAACTGTAAGTTACCTTATTGAATAATACTTTGTCATTATTAAATCCTTATGGATTTATTGATGAGAAAAGCCAGAGGTAGTAGATTTCTCCCAGTTTTCTCACAGACTAACAGTAGTACCAGCTACTGAAAAGAGTATTACTGTCATTTTGTCAAGTTTCATTCACAGCAACAGTCACATATCATACAATGAAGGGCTTTTTATTCTTGCTCCAGGTTTCTCTCCTTTTCTGAAGGCATTGAGTCATACCGGAGTTTAAATGCAAAGGCAGCTCTTTACTTTTCTGCTCTGTGGCCAGATCGTGAGTGTCACTGACATATTCTACTCATCCTTAGCATTCACATATCCTGTTAAGCTAGAATTTTTGAACAATGATTGGACAGGGAGCCATTGTTAATTTTAATGAAGGCAAAGACAAGTTAAAAAAGTCAGAAAGGATGCTCTTTCCTGCCCTCACTCACAGTCATGTCTAGAAGCAAATAATAAGAAAGCTTGGAATGTCAGAGGAGGAGTGCTTTTTAAGACTTAGATTGCTAGGGAAAGGGTGGCTGTCACTTAAAATCTGACCCCCTCCAACTGAACACACGCACTTTTTGTGGTAATCATAGCCCTGGACCTCTGTGCTTTAGGTTGCTTCTGAGCTGAAACAATAGCATTAGCATTATTTGTTCTGCAAATCATGGTTTTACTGAAAAATTCCATCACTTGCTCATTGGGCAACAAAATGAGAGGGGCCAGCATTTTGTGGATCATCACTGACTAGAAAATGAACTGGAATAGCCATAAAGATATAGTGACTATAAGATCAGGTCAGAAGCTAGGAATACTGCAGCAAGCAATTTACCTCCTGACACCCCAAACCCTGTTCACCATCTACAAGGCACAAGTCAGTAATGTGACTGAACCCTCCCTACTTGCCTGGATGAGTACAGCTCCACCACACTCAAAAATCTTGGCACCATCCAGGACAAAGCAGCCTGCTTGATTGGCACAACATCCGCAAACATCTGCTGCATCCACTAGCAGCTGTGTGTGCCATCTACAAAACGCAATGCAAAAATTCACTATGGCTCCTCCGACAGCACCTTCCAAATCCATGACCATTTCCATCTAGAAGGACAAAGGCAGGGGATACATGGGAACACCCCACCTGCACATTCATATTCCAGCCATTCACTATCTGTATTGGAAATATATTGTCACTCCTTTAGTGTCACTGGATCAAATTCCTGGAACAGCCTCCCTAACAGCACATGGACTATAAGAAGGCAGTAAAACAATACCTTCTCAAGGGAAACTAGGGTTGGGCAATAAACGTTAGCCCAAACAGCAATGCCCGCATCCCACAAGTGAGTAAGAAAAATTGGTAGGATTCCCCAAAGTGCAATGATGGCACATAAGTAGGTTTAGGCGTACCTGCACACAAGCCCCTTGTATTCATAAACAGCAAAGGCTTCCAAGCCATCAATATGCAGGTTATCTATAACCATCAAAATAGAATCTTGCAAGCAAATATACATTAGCCAGTCATAATTATACTTTCATTTTAAGGCAACTCACTATGTCAGGATTCATTAAAGAAGTCAGAAAGAAACGATTCCTTCTCGGATACCATTTTACCATTACACTGTTTTGACAACCGTGAAAGCAGCACAAAACTGATAGAGGCCCATGAAGCTGCCAGAACTAGTACATAACATTTTCTTAGAAGTTGATGCATCATGGTTGTACCAGCTCACTGCAAGACTCATCAAGTTAGCCCCCTGCCACGGCCTCCCAAATATTCCTTCTTAGAATAGTTATTCATTCCATTTTAAAAGCTACTGTAGATTCTCTTTGCACCAACAATTTTGGTAGGTAAGTTAATGTTCTAAAAACCTCTTTTCAAAAAATATTCTTAAGCAATGGTCTTAGCTTGTGTTCTCCAGCCACAGATCAACTTTACCTTATGAAACCCTCTCTTTTGTTAAATTTGTTCTTGGAAATCAGGAGTCAATGGCTAAGCCAGCATTTATTGCTCATCCCTAGGGTCACAGGTAGGCTAGACCAAGGAGGGACGGCAGATTTTCTTACCTAAAGGACAACAGTGAAAGAGATGGGTTTTTTATAACAATCAACAGTGGTTACATGGTCGCAATGGGGTTAATTTTTTATTCTAGGTTTATTGAGTTGAAATTTCACCATCTGCCATAGTGGAATTCAAACCATGGGCCCAGAACATTAGTCAGTGACATTATCACATCATGGCCATCTCCACAGGTTTATACATCATACCTTTGTATATCCTAGCAAGAACTGGTTTGTGATGCCTCAGCATGAACGTTCAGTCAGTGTGTAATACAGTGGAAGAAAACATGGTGCCCAGATATTACTATAGTGCAATTTTGTCTAACTTTATCTTGGCAGAACTCTTAAGGCTTTCCATCTGCCTCCAGGTCCCCATGTACTTTGGAGACTATTTTTATCCTGAAAGTCATCTCCTTCCAAGCAATCAACAACGTTCCTTCTGCATAAAGGGCAACCTGGGGTTCAACAGATGGCACTAGTCTTCTGCTGTAACTTTTTTTTAACAATACCTCTAAATATTTTTCAGAAAATGAAGCAGATTTGTTGCTTTCCATGACAATTTTTCTTTCTCTGCTCAGCAACAATTCATTGGACTTTATAAATAAATGTTATGTACAATTATGCCAGTCTCCTTTTACACTGCTGAGCGCAAACCCTCCCTGGCAGGTCCAACCCTAGCCAAGAGTTTATGCTCAGATAACTGGACCAACTTCAAAATCCCATGGGGTAAATCAAGTGAGGTGACAGGGAATACGAAGCCTGCTGCAGTGCTACAGCATTAGTCTCTTTCCAAAGCAAAATTGCTATTTTTAAATCTATTGGGCTATGGGAAGTGTACATGTTTTATTTTGCAGATTAAAGCAATGGGCTCCTGAAGGCAATGAAAAGAGAAGATAATGTTATGGAGAAGGAAAAGAATTGGGCTGAAATCAAAGATCCAAACTGGGTAAAGGCTGATGTTAATAAGATCAGATAGGATTTGGCCAGAGTGGACGGTAGGCAAATACTTTAGGGTAAATCTGTCTCAGAACAATGGGATGTATTTAAGAGGGAACTATGTAGAGGAGAGAGCCAACATGTTCCAATAAAGAAAAAGGGTGGCGCCATCAAATTTGGATATCAAGGATTATCAAGGGTTATACAGAGATTAAGAGGAAAAAGGGAGGCTTATGTCAGATACTGAGGGCTCAAACAGCAGAAGCCTTAGAGGAGAATGGAATGTGCAAGAGGGAATCTAAACAGGTTAGGAGACTAAGGTTTTAGGGTAGATTTGTAGCTCGGGTTGTGGGTGTTGAGGTTGGTTGGCTCGCCGAGCTGGTTTCTTGTTTCGCAGACGTTTCATTACCATGCTGGGTAACATGATCAGTGCATCCTCCGATGAAGTGTCGGTGTGTTTTCCCGCCTGGTTTTTAAACTCTGGAGTACGTTGAGGTGGATTGCCTGACTTCCGGTTTTCCTTCATAGTGGAATGTATATGGGGTCGAGTTCAATGTATTTATTAATAGCATGCTTTGTGGAGTGCCAGGCTTCTAGGAATTCTTGTGCCTGTCTCTGCCTAGCCTGTCCCAGGATTTTGGTGTTGTCCCAGTCAAAGTGGTCGTTCTCCTTGTCCATGTGGATTGAGATGAGTGAGTATTGGTCATGTCTTTTTGTAGCCAATTGGTGTTCATGTACTTTTGTTGTTAGTTTCCTTCCTGTTTGTCCGATGCAGTGTTTCTCGCAGTTTCTGCTGGGGATCTTGTAGATGACATTGGTCCTGTCCATGGCGGGGAGTGGGTCTTTAGTTTGGGTGAGCAGTTGTCGTAGGGTTGACGTGGGCTTGTGTGCCACTCTGATGCCCAGCGGTTGTAGGAGTCTTGTGGTTAGTTCCGACATGTTCCTGATGTAGGGTAGTGTGATGAGTGTGTCAGGGCGTGTAGTATCTTTCTGATGTTGTTTGTGTAGGCATCTTCTGACCCAGTTTTTTGGATATCCATTATCCTTGAAAACCTGGAAGAGGTATTCTTCTTCTTCTTGGCGTAGTTCCATGTTGCTGCAGTGTGTTGTTGCCCTTTTAAATAGTGTTCGCACGCAACTTCATTTATGTGTACTGGGATGGTTACTGTTGAAGTTCAGTACCTGGTCTGTTTGTGTGGCTTTTCGGTGTACTTTCGTTTGCAGTTCCCCATTTGTCTTGCGCTCTACCATGACGTCCAGGAAGGGAGCTGTTTGTTCATCTCCTCCTCTCCGGTGAATTTTATTCTGGTGAGGGTGTTGTATATAAGTTTGTGTGTCTCCTCTAATTTGGTCCATTTAATGATGACAAAGGTGTCGTCTATGTAGCGTATCCATAGTTTAGGTTGGATTTGCGGAAGGGCAGTCCTTTCCAGTCTTTGCATCACTGCTTCTGCTATGAGTCCGGAGATAGGTGATCACATGGGTGTCCCGTTGATTTGCTCGTAAGTTTGGCTGTTGAAGGTGAAGTGGGTGGTGAGGCATAGGTCCAATAGTTTGAGCATGTTGTCCTAGGAGATGGTTTCACTGGGGTCTTGCTCTTGTTCCAGTAGTGTTGTCATTGTTTCCCTTGCTAGTGGTATGTCTATTGATGTGAATAGGGCAGTGACATCAAACGATATCATGATCTCTTCGTCATCTATCTTTATGTCTTTGATGGAGTTGAGGAATTCTTGGGCTGAGTGGATAGAGTGGGGTGACTTGTTGACTAGGTGCCTGAGTCTCCTTTGTAGTTCCTTGGCTAGTCTGTACGATGGAGTGCCTGGTAGGGAGACTATGGGTCTGAGGGGGACTTCTGGCTTGTGCACTTTAG